GGATGAAGGTGGTGCATTATAGAGCCGCACGGACATCCAGGTGCATGATTACCGGTTTTTTGCATGGAGTCCGGTCGTTTTTTCTGTAAATGCTCGCTTTGTGGAAAAATGACAAATGCAAGTTTTTTGAAAAAATGCAAAATTCCAGCTCACTAAAAAGTGAAAGTATTGCTCAAGCGGTCGTTTGTCAAAAAATGCACGTTCATTTACATATGCGATTGCGGTTAAGGTCCGAACTGCGTCGAATTTTTTGAAAGTATGCAAATTTTCAGTTCATTGAAAAATTGAAAGTATTGCTCGAACGGTTGTTTTTCAAAAAAACCCATGTTCATTAAAATATACAATTGCGATTGAGTTCCGAGTTGCTAACGATTTTTGGGTTAAAGAGCTGCTTAAAACTGTGGTTGGGGAGCTAGAGAGCTGAGTTTAAAATTTTTATCTAGCACGTGCATAGAGAATATCCCTGCAAACTTTCAGCTTTCCACGTTGCCTGGTTCGCGAAATCGTTTCCCACCAACATCTTTCTTTGGTGGTCCCGTAAGCGGGGTTTAGGCGCGTATGAGGAAAGATCTTAAAACGGGAGGATAACACACGGGATAGGAACATACATCCAAGGTTTCAGCCTCCTAGCTTTCCTGGTTGCTGAGATGAAAGTGGGTGACAAAATGCACTCGCTTCCCGCACACACATACACATACACACACAGACAGACATCCTCTCGACAACATGCGTTTTTTCTGGCTGTAGCAGCGCTATAGCGCTGCACAACAAAAACGCATAACAATCCACAACATTAGCAAATAAATGCTCTAATATTCAATACTAGCTCTCTACAAGTTTGGTATTCAAGGTATAAGCTATGTTGCTGTGACAGGACTGACATCTAGTTGCCTTCTTGGCCTTTGGTAAACCTCATGCTGTGGATTTTGTTGCCCCATTAGTATAGTCATTTAGAAGAATGCAGTGGGATAAACAGGATTAAGGTCATAAAATGTTATCCACGCTACTTAATATTAATATGGCGATATGCTTTTCATGTCGCGAAAACCGAACGACTCAGTTGATCTGATGGGTCACAATACAAACAAGTGCCTTCTCTTCAACTACTGTGCCGTAAAAACAATGAAACATAATTTGAACTACCGAAAAAGAAAAATTTTATTAGGGGAGAGCTAAATTTAATCGCGATCTCCCATAGTTAGGCTGAAAGACGTAAAATGAGGGATGAAAGGATTTAGGAGGAGGTAGGAGCAAAATAACTTACGAATCCCGGTAAATTTTACATTTTATGAACTTTTTATGAATTCTCGATTTTCGCGCCCTGGTAATCCGGTAAATGTTACCTAATTAGGGGTAAAACTAATGGAAGCTTAACAAATGCACTGCTGCCTCAGTCCGATTTCGCGCCATGGAAATGCTTGTGCATGGAAAAAAAATACCAAAAATATCAACATCATTACCACTCGGTCTGCTTGCTAGGTGTCCTTCGTTAGTGGTGTTACTAGGATGCTCCCACATGTCGAGCGCAGCTTAAATGCCAAGCCCTTCGATCCCGAACTAAATGCCTTCAGTTAGTATCATCGTTTTTTGTTGTGTATGCGCGTCAATGCGAACAAGAATACGTGCATGAATTTCGCACTGAGGGGTATCGCCGTAAACTACTGAGTTGAAAAGTTAGGAAGATTTCACTGGTGTTTGGGCGACAACAGAGCAGAATCCCGGCATGAGCAGAAGAGGTGTGGAAAGCGATGACAAAAGGGGGCAGCGGAAGGA